TCAGAAATTTGTTTAATCGAAACTGTTCTGCAAACAAAATTACTTGTAGTGGCGGAAAGGCACTTCATGACGTCAGTGGACGCATCGCACACGATTAGCAAGGTCGCGTACGCGATCAGCAGATAACTGACGACAGTAGGAAGTACGGGACAAGGATGAGATCACTTGACCTCACTAAATTACATACATTAGGAAGCACGAGATAAGCTGAAACCACTGTGACAGAGGCTGCAGTGGATGCATTGAATACCAGAATTCATTTTAACTCCAAGATAACGAGTCGGAATATCAAGCAACGCATTTAGGGTCGAAAGACACTACATTACTATCGGTATCCAAATTCTGTCGAATCGATGATGCCACTTTACTACTGTAATGCCGCATGGAACTATGAGCAAAGGTGTTGGTACCCACCGTTACACACGAAAAAAAATGATGTTTCAAGTATTGTTGTGGTCATTTCTTAGCTGTTAACGAAGACCGTTCGTAAATAGAATCTCTCCCCATTGCCCAGGGTAATGTAAGACCACGAGTGCAGCTTTTCTAAACGAGATTGCAAGCGGGCTCAGTAGCATTCAGGCAAGTAAAGTTCTGTACAATACATGCTATTTGGGGTGAGGTGGCCGCCAATAGTTATCGTTGAGTCGATTGTGACGAGAACGACGGTCGTACCTCAAATTTATCCTTTATAAAATAAATATCCTGCAACGCCGGTCCAGAATGCGTTGTATCTATCGACGCGAGCGTTGGCTGGGCTTCGCTCACGCAGTCTTCAAAGGCTGCTACAAACCGAGGCAGTACTCACGATTGATGATACGACGGATCCGTTAGCTCCGCCATGTCGTGGATAGAGGCATGAGGTGCATGAATCATGCACCTCAAACTCTATCATGCAGCATGATAGAGTTTTAAGAGTGGGTGTTTGAAATGAGGCCAAAGCTAGGTGTATAAATGACCGACGTGACCGAAAGCGACTAAAGCTGCGCCTAACGCGTAGGGATGCGGTAAGAGGACGCTAACTAAACAGCAGTAGCAAAACGCTCCTGATTCGAACGTGATTTGGAAGCTGTTCAAAAATAATTTCGTCTGTTTTAATTGGAATCAATGTGGGACTCGTTGCTTTTCTAGCAATCCCAACGACAACCCCTTTGGGACCAGTTTTGACAAAATGGCTATCACTGCCACGGTAAAAAAAAATGTGCGGAGATAAAGGTAACTCCTTCGTCACCTCAGTCTGTATAATACAGGGTGAATACCGCTCCGGCTACCCATTCAAATTTACATGTATGAATGACTAGCCGAGCACCACCACTTCGCGGTGGAGGCGCGTGCATATTTTTTTTAGTATCTACTGCCTCCGTTCCGCTCGTCACGGGCTCGCTGCACTACTCGCATGGTTGGCTGATAATTTGAGCCGAGGAGGGCCTTTCGGGCCCGCAAAATGGCAATAGGTGTCGTTTTGGGCCGATACGCTTCGCATGCATGTGTGTCTAAATGTTCATTATGTCTTCGAATTTGGTAACTCTGCTGCAAAATGCAATACGACAAAATTCACATCGATATGAATTTAAATTTTGAATGTATCCATTCATAGTCAGCTCACTTCACTTTTGATTGGATATAAAACATCATATGCGCGATATTCTTGTGCCAATTCCAAATTACCTTATGAGCGACAGCACACGTATAGCTGCGGCGCCCCCACCGCCGAAGACGCGTAAGACGCGCTACTGTTTTCGACCTGGTGACGACAGGCTGCTGCTTCAGGCTGTACTTGATGACCCAGACGTCTTCTCCCCTGCTCGAGTTCGACGCTCTAATGCGTGGGAAGACATAAGGACCATTCTCCATCGCGAAGGGATTCTCGCCAGCACCCACGGACTGCGCTGTCGTCTACAGCGAGTTGCTGAGACGTTTCAGAAAGAGGTAGCCGAAGGGAAGCAACCAGCGGGTATGTTGTTGAGTTTTATCTATATGAAGTATTATATGATGACATTAGCGTGGATATGATATGACAGTAATATGATTTCTTCATTTTTGACACAGAGTACACGGAGCTGGAGAAACTACTGGCCAAGTACATCAAGGCAGAGTCGGAATACGAACAGCAGAGGGCAGTTGCTCAGTACACACAGGCAGAGGCTGCGTTTCTGCGGAAGAAGGCGAGGGTTGATCGGCGGGTCAAGAGTAGTCGGGTCTCGTTTGATAGTGACCACAGCTCAGTCGATACAGAGTCCGAGGGAGAACAGACTACTGCCACCAATGCGGTCCAACCGGTTATGGCAGCAACAGCAGCACCTGTAGCAGCTCAGCCACCCATTCCGCTTCCTACGGTAGTGACCACTAAGAAGACTAAGGGAAAACGCTTCTCCTTCGAGGAACACCATGACGTGCTGCTATTGAAGGCAGTGCTGGCCGATAAGGGTGCTCTCTCAGCCTCCGGGGTGAGAAGACGACAGTGGAAAAAGATCGAAACTTCACTAAATAGGCAAGGAATAACCGTGAAAGCGCACACCATTCGCGAGCATCTCCGGTTGCTAGTGACAGCTCACCGATTTGAAGAGAGCACAAGAGATCTGGATCAACTCGGGTTGTCTGAGAGACAGCAGCTTTTGAGAACGTATTGCAAGAAAATGGAGGACGAAGAACAGCACACTCAAGACACTACCGACGATCAGTCCTTCGAGCCAGTGCCTGAATCAGATGCCCAAGACAACGACGTCGTCGCTACAGCTAACCAGCCAGTAGAAGTAGCTGCCACTTCACCGGCTAGTCGAAGTCCATCCCGTACTCGAACTCGTGAGGTTATCATCACCTCAGAGATAACTTCAGCGCCCAGAGCCTCTGTAGTCCAACCTCCACTATTTGCTGAAGAAAGGGAAGTCGAGGAACCTGCGACGAAAAGGCAGAAGCTGGAGCTGGACACAATTCTGGAGCGCTTTTTAGCTGACCAGAAGGAACGTCAACAAGAGCAAATCGAGCACGAGCGCACGAGACTGAGCGAACAACAAGAGTTGCAGCGCCAGACGGTTGACTTACAAAAGCGAGCACTGGATATTCAAGAGAAGGCGATGAACATGCAGGAGCGGCTCATGGCTTTGATGGAGAAGGTGATGGATAAGCTTAGTTGAGGACCCATGCAGCATGCGTGATACATGCGCAAAATTTCGCGCAATGGTAATTCGGTATTCTACATATCTTTTTTTCTTTCGTTATTACTTGCTAGTTAACCATAATGGACTGTCCGAATAACAAATATGCTTACCAACATCCATGAGGACCGACGACACCGGTCCGACAAGGACGCGGCATCATTTTCTGGCTTGAACATCGCCCGGAGACATTTGCTGTACTTACCACAGCATGCAAATTTTGCACCATTTGTCCGCGACCCCAAGGTCGAGGCAAAGCGAAAGAGAGCCACAGACGTGTAGTTCTTCGGGCCCGCCGTCCGTACAAACAACTAACTGTAGACGCTACTATAAAATCTGCCGCCGACACTTTTAGTACACTATTCAGCAGCATCAGATAAAGAAACACAGCGAGCGATGTCGGACTCTCCAGAGCTTGAATAAGGCCTGCCTACGGGTTTCTCGATAGTCCGTATTTAAATAGTTGGCTGGAAGTAAGTAGTGTCGCCAACCTTTAATTAACGTTTCGCGTGAGGCTGTGTCTCCTCTCAATTGACAACTGAGGATTCCTCCTCTTATACTTGCTTATGCTAAAGAATTTATGATTCCTCTGAGGGATCATAAATGGGGATTCCCTCTGCATTCATTTATTCACTTGGATCTAATAAGCTAATAGGGAGAATC